ATCTGTTCTGAAGACGATTTGAGATCCAGAATTTTCGGAACATTTGTTGTAAAATTTCTTGCTTCCTTGCCTCTCCTGGGATTTTCGGACATATAAAAAAGGGTATAATTGCCCATTTTTAACGGATTTTTACCCTAAAAACGTCACCTAGTATTTTCGGGAGCCTTTTTTCTGGCTGAAATTTTCGAAAAGGTAAGTTTCGATCCCTATAATTTTCGAATCACTTGACGTTCAGCTAGGAAATCCGAACAGATGAAAAATTTTTAGGGGATAAAAACATGCCTATATCTACATGTATCGTTGAAATACTAAAATACGTTTAACAATGCTATGTTTAAGTGGTTTTTAACTATATTCTCTGTAGGTGCCCCCGTGAAATACCGAGAATAAATTTGTTGATTAGGACGGGTTGTGGTTGACATTGATTCTTGTTGAAGTCAGAATTTAATTTGAATAGATCTAAATTGTCAGTAGGCTAGATAACTTATCTAAGTTTCTCCTAGACTGTGAGGAGCAAGCGAATGAGTTGTTAAGACGGTTTTTTTAGGCAATCTGTTTGGTTCGCTATCTCGGACTATTCAACAATATTCACCTCGTAGCGAGTGGATAATGTGTGAGCTCCGTGTTTCTCCTATTCTTTTTTTTTTGAGAGAACGACCTTTCTAAAGTCGACAACGTCCTAAAGATAACTTTTTTAAAAGCAAGAAATGACTTTGAGGGATTGAAAACGGCATTTCGTTCCATTTATTGTAGCTGAATTTTTTGCTCGATGCAATGTTTACAATTCAACTCCCGTTCATTCGCGTAGTAGAGGCCGTTTCGTGAACTCAGCGTTTGCTAACAAGAAACCTTTTTGCCCAAAAAATGAAGGATATTTACGACAAACAAAAATGAAAGCAAATGTTTGCAGAAATTCTAAGTTTCAAGAAAATAGGACAAAGAATGCTTCAGGAAAACGACGCCTCACCTCAAGCAATCGTGCCGCCATGTCAGCACTTCATAGGAAGCTATAAGAACGACACAACAAAGCTTTTTGGTTATAAACTTGGTGAGTAGAAAACAACAAAGCTCTACCTTTCTTCTCCGGTAAGAAAACAATTCAAACTTTTAACGGTCCCATGCATTTAAGCCATTACGCTGTTGTTTGCGAAATAATAAACTTGTGAATTGCCATGTTCGAAAATTCTGCAAAGGTCTAACTTTCGCGCATGCATGTTGTATGTCAGGAGCCTATGTAGGCTTCTGACATACAAATTTTTCCCGCCTGATTTGATCCGTCTGTTAAATCGCACTTTTTAATGGTTTCCTTTCTAATTTTGTAGAGATAACTTCGTGTGTATATACTAAAATAATTACTCTTTTCAATCTTGGTGAATAGTGGCTTTTTTGAGGAATATTTACCATTCACCTCGATTTCAAGGAATATAATTGTTAAATATTGTTTTCACGGTTCCAACTCGTTGACAGCTGTCATGGAGAAGAGGGTGTAAAAGGGCTGGATTTTACTCCCAAGTTGAATCATTCCAAGCTGTATTCACTGCTGACATCTTCCTTCGTTTCGTACGCTTCTTTGCGACTTTTCTATTTAAAAAGGAATGATTCATTGTCTCTCTTGTCTAATGTTTCAATACTAGTCAGCTGAATAGGAAGAATTACATGTCTTTCAACTAAATAAATAGATGAATCGAAGCGCTACAATGGTCTACGATTAATAATTCAACTGGAGATCAGAGAAAATCCTCAGGGACTCGCCTCAGCATTTTTTAAGTACGAAAAATGGTAACTATAACTACCAGAACATACTCCCATTCCTGAAAGACTTTTTTGGATGAACAAAATTTGATACTTTTACCATGTTACCCTTGTATATGCCATTTTGACAGAAAAGGTCCACTGATAACCACTTTCGTATACAAATGGTACCCCTTCCACATACTTGTCTAGAACGCTGCATCCCTTTTATCTGCTGAAAAATGCACCACCGTCTTTTAAAATCATTCAAGTAAATAATTCATGAACCTTGAAGTTTTTTCGCACTCTTTAAGGTCCTTTCACAGATCGCAATGATAAATTTCGCTACCCTTTATACACTTCAGCCATGCAGGAAAACGCAGGTGGCCCACTCTTTCATATATCTGAATCCCGAAAAAGGTACCCCTTTCGGGCAGAGCCTTTCGTCGCGCCTTTTCTCTCGACCCGACTGACTGCCCCTGGGTCTCCGAGGATGCTCCGTATAGGCCATTATTAGTTTTCAAAAATTCAATTTCAAACTTGGCATTCTCGCTAATTTTAAGGCGTTCTTTCAGCCGTGTTGACGAATTTTCGCTAACTTGAGTTTCAGTGACAAGTTGAAAAAACCTTGGATCATGTATATCCTTCTCAGCTAAGCTTTTAAATTTGAATCTGAATTCCTCACTGATTTCTTAAGGTTTTAATTAAAATATATAATGTTCGAGCTTGTTGGTTTAAATTCAGAAAACAGGTCGGTATAAATTTAGTAATCTTGTGTTTTAACAAGGTCTATTATGCTTTTGATTGTATTTGCCGCACTTACTAGGTCGTTTCTAAATTAATAGCGGAGCTCCTTGCGCGCGAAGCGCGCGAGCGGAGCACCATAACTAAGATAATTTGGTAAACTATCCATCCGAGAAATTTTGGTTATGACGTCAGCGTACGTCCGTCCGTACGGGCTTTCCGGGTAGTGGAAAGTAGAGCGCATGGACTCTTGGGGTAGGGGAAAGTAGACATTTTTTGGCGGGAAATCGCATGGCGCAACGTCGCGCAATTATATCGCGCAGCTGGTTTTGAAAAGAGAAATTTCAAAGCAACTTAGCAAAAAGATTTTTCGACAGAGCCTTTATAACTTTTTATTACAAGTTACGAAAGCTTTTATGTCAACAAACAAAAGCAGAGAGATTTTAGCGTGTAGACGACAGGTTTTAAGCAGAGAGCAAAGAGAAGGTGAACGGCAGAGAGCAAGAGTCAACACGCGTAGATTAAGAGAAGACAATCGCCAAAGAGAGTGCGTTAGAAGTAGAAGAAGAAGACAAAATTTTAGCGAAGAAAGTCAGCAAGTAGAGAGAGTCAGGGCGAGAAGAAGAAGAGAAAATTATAGTAAAAAACGCCTGCAAGCAAAACGAGACAGAGCCAGAATGAATAGACCAAGGCAACGCGAAAGAGAAATACAAAGGCAAAGAGAACGGCAGAAAAATAATGACATGATGACAAAAAGTGTTGAGTTAATGTCATTATGGCCCCGCACTATTAACATTTTGATTTCAAACTGATCTCGGACGCGAAAATTCAGCCAGTCATTTAAAAATACAAGCAGGGAAGACAGCTTTTCATTTTTCTCACCATAGTCAAGCGTTGATCACGCTCTACGACCGTCCAATTTTTATGCTGTGATTGGTCGAAATTTGACAGGTGGTTCATGCAGAAAATTTATACAGCATCTTAAAACTTGTTTACTTTGACAGCTGAAAGTAGCTGAAGCTGACTGAGTTTTTTGTCAACTTGTGATGTTTTTTATTGTCTTTTTCCACTAGATGCATAAAATGAAATACAGCTGCTATCAACAGTCTTCTGTTATTCATGTTTGTTTATTGAATTTTTGGTTGAGAAATGCGTTGCTTGTCAAAGTTGCTTTAGGCTAAAGCCTACTGTAGCAAAAGCAAAAAGTGGAACGACCTACGCCCAACTTTTCAGGGAGTTCGCTAAGACCGGAATGAACTATCGAAAGTCCTCGACGTAGAGCTTACCATTCGGACTCATTATATTGTATGAAGTGTATGTGTTTGTTTTTTATATCTAATTTCATGAAGTCGAGCGCAGTTTATGAGGCTAGTTTATGCACGTTTGTATTAAGATCTGAGACAATGATCTGATCTAGTATGAGGTTTGATATAAGCTTACAAAACTTTAAAAAGCCTTTAGTCAATATCTTCTCTCCGCAAATAGAAATTTAAAATGTTCCGAAGAGTATTTAGTTATAATTTTGGCTGTAGAAAGAAAGCTTTGAGCGATTTTCTTGCCTCCAGTTCATCTTTGAAAACAGTAAACACCAGGAAGCCGGCTAAAAGCTTTAAGCTTAAGCTTAAAGACTCAGGATTTTTAGAGACGCTTTAATAGTTGTCTTCGTGAATGAAAATTGTTGTCTCTGTAAATGTTTCACCTAATTACATTTCTTTTATTGATTGTTAGTAGTCTCTTGCAATTTTAATCGCTTTGCCGTTTGTTTTCCGTCGTTCATAAACATCGCTTGCAGGAGTACTCAAAATGCCGCGCGTATCAAACCCTTTTTAAGATTACACATCGTTATAAAACCAGTAAATAAAAATAATAAACACAGTAAATTCTTTGTTATGTTGAAGCGTAACTCTTTTAATGTTCACTGAAAATTTGGCGCTTGTCAAAAGTGAGAACCGGCTGGCCGTATAGGTGATTTTGGAAATTTTTTGAACGGTTTTGCTAAAAGCACACGCGTGCTTCGTACGGTTCTGAATATTGAACCGGTTCAATTTGTCTTGAAAAATTGTGCAATACTGCATTTTGTCTGAGGTTTGTATGATAAAAACAGCGCCTTATATTACTGTTTCGCCTCAGATGTGATGTATAAAAAGTATGAAATGTTGGTTTACACGCACCCAGAGTTGTTGGCAAGATTTTGTTGAGTAAACTTGTCGAACGCAAAAATTCGGCCAGATTTGTTTTCCAAGAATTCGTTTTTCAGGCCTAATCTACTGGGATGAAGAGCCATTATGGCTCTTAAATGTGATCGAAGATGATTGCTATTTTTTGGGTGTATATATACGGCTAACAATTCGATGTAAGATTTTTTTTCACTCCAAAATCACTTAGCCTTAGCTTTCATTAAAAAGTCACATGTGTGCCCTTAAGTTAACTGATTTGTGCATTACAGGTTTATTGTTTGATTTAAATTATAAATTTAGTAATGGGTGCTTCGCTTTTAGCCCTGGCTAAATCTATTTATTAGCGTTTCAGTTTGTTTTTTCTGTTACATGTATATTTCCTTTTTTTCCAATCGTGTTTGTTCGAATATCTGTCAAAGGGATCACATTAGGACGTTGCTGTTGTGAGTAACTGTACCGCAGGAGTCTTCGTAATGCACTTTTGAGGTTTCCGCCGAAGTACCCGTATAACAAGGGATCCAATGCTGCGTTTGGGCATATTAAGAGTTGAGATCCTGTCCAAATTAAATCTTTTGAAGCTAGGTGATAGTACAAAAGTGTTCGTGTGACCATAAAAGGGGACCAACAGATAACAAACGCTGTAGTTAATGCTGCAAGTGTTGTAGCAACTTTCTTGTGTCGTTGATTAAATCTCCGCTCCAAGAAAGTATTGTTTATGGTCTGAACTCTTGAACGAAGAGCGCGACGAATCTGAGTTTGAGTAAAAATCATATACAACAAAGGAACGATGAAAAAAAGAATGGCGTGCAAAGTGTAAAATATTTTTTGGCCAATATTTCCCCATTTAGTATTAGCACAAGCTAATTTACCGTTATCTTGTGTTTCCACGCGATAAATGTGTGCTAAAGGCGAACAAACCGCTAAGCCAATGGCCCAGATTGTGACAATTTTCAAAAATTCTTTTCGTGGGCAGCTACCAATTCTTGCATTTAAAGGATCAACAACAGCTTTCAGTCTCTGATAGCTTAACACCACAAGAGTTGTTATTGAAACTGTGTAGGTTGCTTCCACGAGAAATGCCACAAGTTTACAGGTTCCGTTACCGCCCACCCAACGCCAATGAAAGGTAATAACATCAAAAACTGTAAGAAAAGTAAACAAGAGATCTGCGGACGCTAAATTTGCCAAGAACCACATCATGGGAGAATGTGTTCTCTTCAGAATGGTATAGGCGGTTATTATAACCCATGTATTACCAACGACTGAAATGATGAAAACAATGGCATAAAAAACGTTGAAGATCGCCACCACAGAAAGCGGAAAAGGACTACTGTTAGCTATAGTTGAGATGTGTTTAAGCAGAGTTTTACTATCGAATACTGGTGATTCGTGAAGTACTTAAAGAGAAAACTGGAAAAACACCCTCAAATAGCCTGCTCGATTTCAATATTGTCGGCTAAACTTTTTGGTCTCGATACTTGATTCGAGCCTTGAATTTTTTTTTCTTAGTTTAATTACCTTCATATTTATACGCTATTTTTGACAGACCATTACATGGGATCATCATACTATTGTTCAGCTTTAAACAGAAATTATAGCTTGACATCTGTCAATTCCAACCTTTTTTCTCCTAAATCTAAATCCGTCACCATTTCCGCCATTTTCAAGAACCTTTATATTAGTTCTGCTCAGCTTATACCAATATTAGCACTGATTGAAGCACGAGTTCAAACTCAGCGGTATAGCGATTGCCGCAAAGCTTACCCTGGAGCCATTCATGTGCAAATCCTATTGCAGGTGAACATTAAAAGGAGTAAAATTAACAACTGAGTGTATTTTCAGTTTAAATCCGTCACCATTTCTGCCACTTTCAAGAACCTTTATATTAGTTCTGCAAAGCTTATACCAATATGAGCACTGAAGCACACACACCAACTAAGCGGTATGGCTATTACCGCGCGTGCACCCATGTGCAAATCCTATTGCAGGTGTTGACTACAGGGAGTAAAATTAATTGGGAATTACGTCCTACAAAATATCTCCCTTTTTTCGATATACAGGTCTTAAAGGGCCTCACATTTCTTATCTTGGGGTGGAAATCTGTGAGATGTTTTTTTTTTTGAACAGCTGATTCTATATCTTTTTGCTTTCAAATGTTGACTTTCTTCGGTTAAATAAATGTAAAGGTTAATTGCTCTGACTTTCTTTTTCCTTACACCATATCAGAAACAACTTGAATTTGCTATATTTCGTCATTGTAACTCATAGTCATAACCCATTTATAATTTACAGTTTCGCGAGTTTTCCGTTCTGTTCAATCTGAACACTGGTACTTATTCTATTCAATCGTTCCACATTTGTTCATTTCAATAAAATACATGAATATATTTTATGATTTAATCACTGATATCTAATCAATTTATTCCACCACTTTTTATTTAGTTCGAACGACAAACATCAGCCCATATTCGTTCAATGTTCGCGCTCAGACGAGTGATAAATATTCGTGCGGTACTGGGTAATTCTTCCCGCTTTTTGAAGTCGATCATCTTGGTTAAACTATGGATGAAGAGAAATTAAAGAAGGCGGCTGGCCTTCTTAAAGGGGCGTCTGTATGTTGCTGACTGTGGAAACATCAACATCTACTAATTCTCCAACGGATTCAAGTGATTCGAGTGCAATGAGACCGGCAATAACAACGAACGCCGATCGCCGAAACCCTGGTAAGGACAAGAACAATACTATGAACACAAGCTCCAGTCGCGGTCTGTACAGAAGACTCAATAGGCATCGAGAAAAAGCCATTTGAATTTGATCATCCAAGGGCAATTTCTGAAGAAAGCGATTTAAGAGGATAAAGTTGAAACACTGAAGAAACATTGTGGATATCGGAAAGAGGTATGGTTGTACTCAATGAGGATGATAGCGAATCGTGTGCGTGGAAAAACAGTTTCATCCCTCATATTGGTTACTAGGACCAAATGACTCCGACTTTAATTGTTAAAGTCAGCCAGAAAAAATATCAGTATTAAGACTAGCAGAAGGGACTGAATTCAATAGGCAATTTCCGAGTTCCCCCGGGCCTCTGTATCAAAACGAGGTTAAATGCTCAGCCTTTCATACAGAAATGATGTTTCATTCTCACTCAAACAATTTTCAGAAGAAAAGTTGTGCGCTTGGCCTCATTTTGAAAGTGAGGGTTTTAGAACTCGGAAGTGGCCTATTACAGTGTGGTCGTAAACAAACTAGCCGGACAAGAGCTTCTCTACATTCGGATGAAGCAAGCATACAACTTTGTTTTACACGAATCAGACGCAGGACAAGATCAGTCTGGTTGGCTTCACCAAGAGTACTTGAGTCTCACCGGCCAGCTCAAAGACCCACCAGTACCCCTACATGTCATGATCAGACAGGGGAGTTCACTGGTACAAGTACAAGTACCAGTACCCACCAAACGGAAGAGCCGACAATTTTTACCACTGATCCTCAAAGGGCGCTTTCCAAAAGTCAGAACTGGCCGGCCGGGCCATGGCTGCACCGCTCATTTTGAAAATGAAATAGGCTTTTTCTAAGAGTTTTTGATGAAAAAAGATTTCGTTCGTGCATTTTATTTAGCATTTGACTGATCTGGCTGGATAGCTTTCATTAAAAGTAAAATTCTCATTACGAAGGGAATGTCCTGGCCGGTCAGTTCCGACAAATGGAAAGCGCCCAAAGAGATGAGTCCTTGACATGCAAAACAGGGAAGAAGGACAGTGGGTTCTTCTGGAACATGCTCCTTGAGTTAAAATATCGCTGACTGCTTGTTTAATGGCTTTTTTGGGCTACATTTTTGTATAATTTCCACTGACATGTTCGATTCTCTATAGTGACTCATAGCATGTGTCTCCCACACATAAATAAGCATTTTTTTATAGAGCCCAAGAGCTTGCTTCAACATTCCTCCATTTAAAAACTGATCTAGCTCGTTAAGGAATTCCAATGCTGTAGATTATCTATAGTATAATTGGAGTTCATTAAACTTCATTTCGGTGGGAAAAGTTAAGCTGGGTGCTGGAACAGGAATCTTGCGGTATCATCTCTGCACGCTTGGTTTTTTGCTTCGGTTTTCTTTTGTCTCGGACTGGCACGACTTAAGCTGCAGTAAAACGGACAAAAAAACCTGCAACTTATATTCCAACATTGCTGCATAAGGGGGGGGGGGGGAAGGGGATTGGTGAGAGCGGGGGCGCTTTTTTCCTCATCCCCCTCCCCTTTTTGCGCCTGCCGGGCAGGTTATTAAAGCAAAACGAGTTAAATATAAAGTAATAGCGATAGTTCACGTTTTATCAACCACACCTTAACCGAGTGGACGGTCGTTTGGCGATCATATCCGCCCTCTTTGTTTTTTTGGTCTTTTTTTTTTTTGCGCGGGTCGGCCAGAAATTAAGGTGAAAAAAAACAAAAAAAAAACACGCAAATTTTCTATCAAGTTTGGTGGAGGGGGGGGGGGGGGGGGGGAAGGGGATTGGTGAGAGCGGGTGCGCTTTTTTCCTCATCCCCCTCCCCTTTTTGCGCCTGCCGGGCAGGTTATTAAAGCAAAACGAGTTAAATATAAAGTAATAGCGATATTGCACGTTTTATCACCCACAGCTTAACCGGTCTTGCAAAACATTAGGTTGAAAGTGTTTTTTTTTCGTGATTGGTAAAAAGCGCGACATCGTTATTCAACTCGTTTTGCAGCAGTGTTGCAAAACATGTTGCACGTTTTTTGTTGCCCGCTTCACCGTGCCTTAATCATGCCAATATCAGGATTCATCAAATTCGATCGATTTCAAAACCTAGGGAAAATACTTTAGGGGGGAACAGTACATATCATGAGTAACAAAAAAGCAGTAACTCCCGGCAATTCAATAAGTTTTTTACGTCCTTGCCAAGTTTCAATTCAACAGCGTTAACACTTAACTTTTGTTTGAGGGGGGAAGGGGAAATCATCAAAATTATGTGAATGATAAAATAATATGAGGGAATAGGATCAGTGTACCAATTAAAGGCGTAACGTTTCGACACAACAAAACTCTGCGAAGAACTTGTCCGCTTTGTCCCGCCTTAACGTTCATGTTGAGGATCTCCTTTATTTTTATCATATTATAATCACAGTTAAAAAACAAAAAGAAAGCAAAGAAAGCTTAAAAAGTGGGTTGAAAACAAAACAATATGTTATTTTAACGGTTTTCATTTATTTCCAATACTAACGTCAGTGCCATAAAACCTCATCGGTGATTTCTTCTTTGACGTTTCCCCAGCGGCTCAAGCCTGAAAATGAATGATAAGGTCTTTCCTTAAAAATTTTCAGGCTTTATGTAAATTGGTTGTTCTACAGTAGATACCTTTAGATACTAAAGCGAGAACGAGAGTACGAGGACGTGATTATCTCAATACTAAATGGTAAGCACGTGCGAGAATCAGCATCATTTTGGTGGGAAAACGCGTCGAGAGGCGTTGTCATTCAAAAAAAACCCTGCTTTTAGGCCTAGGATCATTGCCTAAGCTCTTTATGTCAGTTTATGATTAAAATTACAAGTCATCTTAGTTTGTAAAAGTTAATAAAGAAAAGAATAATACTTACATTTTACTCACACTTGTACTTAATGTAGATATACTTGGAGGCGTACACCGGGCAAGGATTCCCATATACGTCATTAGATGCGTAGAGAACGCATGACCCCTTTCCATTACAGGTTTTCATGATCTAAGATAATGTTAAAAAACGATGGGGAAAAATATGTTGCCAATCAATAGAAGTAAGTTTACGTTCGTGCAAAACTTTATCACCCTCGAGTTCACAGTGATCGTCCATTCTTGCACGAATAACCTCGTTTGTCAAAAAAAGGGAAGACATGCACACGTGTTAAACGTTGGGTAGTAAACACAAACAACTCCAGATCCCTTAAAAATCATACAATTCAACTCCCCACCCATTGTTGTGTCCGGTATTGTAAGTATCCACTCAAACGATCGTAGACTTATTCAGTGAGTCTACCCCACCCCGCCACAAAAACAAAATTATTTCCGGGAAGGGGTGTGGCTTGAAACAATTGCTTTGATCACTAGCTCTTGATCTGAGCCTTCCTAGCTACTGAAGCTTTTCCTGATTAATTCCAAGTTTCCCTCATCTGGTAAACAGCTATTCCTTATCATGGACCTACCATGGAACCAGACCCACTTGCTTTACAACTCGTCGTGAGTCCCATGCCGCACTTAAAAATCTTTGTCCTTCCATAATAGGCGGAAACAACTCTTATCTTTCTTCCACTGCAATTTATCACCTCCTTTTTGTCCTGGCAAATGAACTTTTCGTGTGTGTTCGAAGCTGTGAATTAAAAATTAATTTAGTTATTATACAAACTTTGCCAAGAGGCCTGGATAACTCACAGAGCAAGATCACTGTGAGGTCCAGAAAAAAACAACAGAAACGGCAATAAAAACAGAATTGGAGGAAAGTATAACGGTGTTGGCATTATAAACGGACTTAGTCAGATACAAATAGTAATTAAAAGAGGTAACATGTGGTAAATTTTTTGCAGAGTCTCTTTCGAGGGTCCACTATTGGGACGGTAGTTTTCGTTTTTCTTTCATATACTTACTTGTTACTTCTCCAGCTGTAACTTTCGTCATCCAAGGAAGAAAATGACGAACCTTTGCGTACACACCAACATAGTCGGGTAAAGCACACCCAACTCCAAAACTTGTGGCCCCTTCCAAGTACCATCTTCCATTGAATTCACAGACTAGTGGTCCTCCACTGTCACCTTGACAAGCATCCTTGCCTCCTTCAACTACACCAGCACACAGCATGGAACTGTCAATTGAGCTGTAGTAAATTTTAGCACATTGTTTTTGAGAAACAAGAGGTACCGCGACCTGCTGTAAGTAGGTTGGCTTGAGACCACCTTCAGAAAGTCTTCCCCATCCAGTTGTCCAACACTTCACATTCGGATTGTCGATTGGCAATGGAAGACCAAGATCTGGAATACATGCCAGGCCGACGGCTTTGTTTAGTTTAGCAGGCTTTGACAGTTTTAACAGCGCGAAATCGTTGCTCTCAAACTTGGGTACGCGGTAGTTAGGATGGATTATCACCTCCTCAACGCTAAAGTCCTGCTCTGTTCCAAATTTTATATCATTCGTCCTTGAGTGCGCTCCCATCCTATCAATCCAAAGAAAGAAACTAAGCCGGTCATAACCATAAAAAATCTCATGTATTAAAAACTAACATAGGCCATGATGTGGAAGAAGAATTAGACTTTAAAATGAATGGTCGACGCACTGTTTCCTCTGAAAGCCGAGCTATGCCTTAGTATAATTAAAATATGAATTTAATTATAGAACTGAGAGTAGAGTAGAATAGAACAGAACAGAGCAGAATACAATACAGTAAAACAGAACAGAGCAGAACAGAACAGAATATAATAAAATAAATATCAGGATAGGATATAACAAATGAAATATAATAGAATTCTCGGTTTTCACATGACGACACCAAAATTCAAACTAAGAAACAATCGCTTCTTCTGAGTTTCTACTTTGATGTGATATTACCGATTTTGGGAGATTTTGCTACCTACACATTCCTTGTCTCAGAATAAATATTACTTTACTCTTTACGAGTTCCTCAAGCGAATAATTCACGCATTAAGAAAACTCAAAAACAGATGTTTCTATCGGTTTCCCGAGGCCATACTGTATTTATATCCCTGAATAGGACACAAACATGGCGTCTCCATACAAAGCTTTTAATTATAAATTTGGGTAAAACATTTTTCCGGATATCTCGCATGTGAAATATTGCACAGACCTGATTCTTGGCAAGGCTTTTTGTAAATTATCTCCTTTCATTTCCCAGATTCTAGATTTTCTGTATTAAAAGGTTTCCATTTTAATTTTTGATGGCGTGACAGTGAATCAAAACCACCAATAGAATAGAATAGCTAGAACAGAATAGAATAAGATAGGATAGAATGGAATAGAAAATAAGAGAATAGAATAGAATACGTGGTCGAGGTAAATAGATTTTAAGTCAAAATTGCTAATAAAACAATTTGATAACTATTTTGTAACCTGACAAAAACATTGGTATTCTTCAAGTTTTCCACGCAGTGCGCCGCTGTCACAACCCAATTTGGGTGAACTAACGTTCCTCCACAGAACTGTGATTTACTTTTCGTCATTAACATTGCCTGCCATGGCCATGAATGTTTGGGAGCTGTTACACCGCCAACAATACGTATCTGAGGGCGAACTCCACAGTTCCCTGTTAGATAAATAAGCCGTTTAGTTAGAAGCAATGAGATTTATCTTTGGCCTTTCAGCACTTGTTTTGTGTTTTAGGCATAAAGGAAGAAAAGCGGTCTTTCTGTTGTTAATGATTTATTATGCATTCATTTGTATCGATCCTCTCGGCAACTATAGCATAGATTTTAAACTTACTTGCATCGCCAGTTTTTGCAACTGAAGGCAGCTCCGCCCAAACGGAATTGGAGTAAATGTTCAGTTGAATGCATGAAAGAATTTTCCTTTGAAATACAAGAGATATCACTAATATCTCTCGTCTTTTGAAAAATCGAATTATTTCAAGATTCTTTCTTGGAGGTTTTATTTTTTGAGAACGGACTCCCCTTGCGACTCCGGCGATTAAACCACCAGGCAGTTTTTGCAGACGATTTATTTTGAAGAGTTTGTAGCTCTGACACCTGTATCTGGTAACTAAAGCCATCGACGTTTCTTGTTCAAGGAAAACATAAAAAGAATAAATGAAGAGGCTCTCAGGACAATAACTGCAGGGTTTTTTTGTAATTAAATGTATATAAATCATCTCTGCGCAAGAACTGAAAGTAGGAAAAAGATATCAATGTGACTGGACATATTTAATTTTCTTCGATTCTCGTGTCAGTCTTGCGTAATGTCCCGTTCTTTGCAACTATTTCAATACCAGAGAATGAGTTATTTAATTTATGTACGCAGGTGATTGAAGGAAATAATATATAAATAGCTTTTCGTAGGTTTACTCTTGAATCTCCAAGCACAAAAATATGAATTTGATCATTTGAGGTCAAAGGACATACTATATGTGCGTACAGAAAAGTATCAAAAAAAGGAAAATGCACTTCAACTTACAGATCAGAGCATAATTTTCTTATATATTTCGTCGTTGCTGTTCTACGATTATTTTCTAATATATAATACAAAACATACCTTGCACTAAGGCAAGCGATGAATATACCAAAGATACAACAATCAGCAGCTGGTACATGGTTGAAAAGATAGACTTTTTGAATGCGGTGTGAGTGGTGGTCAATTCAGTGCACTAATTTATTACAAAAAACTGACAACCGACGCAACTCAAAAGCAGAACAGCCCTGTTTTCAGAACAGCTAGTTAAAGCAGTAAATGTTTGAAGTGTGAAATTTGGCAGATCTCCTAAAGAAAGCATAACTAGTGCGTATCTGCAGGGTCTTTAAGCACGGAGCACAAAAGGTGTCTGAAGGCTACGCTTTGTCGAAAGAAATGACCAAACCCTAAAACATTTACTTCTTTGTTGCTTCTTTTGTAAGTAATGTCAACAAGTAAATAATTTGAACAAAGGTAATTTTTAACATGTCAGGTCTAAAAGCTATAAAAATATTTCAACGCAGGTGAATACATGGTGGGATATTTGAAAAATAAATAACTAAACACCTTCATTGTCAGAATTAAAAGTGAGCGTTGTTGTTCAGATTTCTTAGAAACAATCTTTTTTTTTGTTCTTTCGGACGAGAAAAATGGTGAAAATGTTCTCTCTTACTAAACGAGCAAAGGGTTATCATTAGTCACAAAAATAAAGCAATGTTGCAATTCTTTGATCTCGGAACATTATCGGCCGTTTAATTATGGTCAATTTACTTGTGAACCTGATTAGTTCATTAATATCTGGTCGATATTTGATTGTACAGCGCACTATAAAGAACGTAATAATCACTTAGCAGAAGATCATAACCCCTTATTTAAAAGTTTCTCTGCACATAATGAGATTGATCCTCGGAGAAGGAAAACAGGGTTAGCCATAGAGTGTTAGGGTATTTTCATCAACAAGTCCAGGAAGTCCAGAATAAAGTGAGACCACCGCATTCCCTTTTCACTGGATGGGTGAATGTTTGGTAATCGACCGTGAAGGGATCGGATAGTCCATTAAACACACTTTTAGCATGACGAATGGCTGCGGCCAGAACGGGCTGGGGCTTATTTAATCTAGCGAAGATGTAGGCATCACTTCTCCATAAATCACATTATTAACTTTTGTATTATATGATATTAAATGTTGTGTCCTGGAAGGTGTCTTAGTCTTTCACTTACAAAATTTCGAAAAAATTTAGATGTAGGCTAATTGTGAGGTCTTGTAATGTCTAGAGAGAGTTAAATTGAGAACATGGGAACTGTTTTAAGTTTAGAAATTCTCCAGCAACCAGACGTCCGTGAAGATCTGCTGAAATAGTGAGATTTTAAATATCTCGAAATTAATATGCATTTTTCACGGTTGACGGTAAAAAAAAAAACTTTTTAGACGGCTGACGGTTAACCCCATTGAGACCCTCAATAAACACGTACGAAACATGATCCTCTACCGGCATACCAGTACCTGCTGTATCGTTAAGTCCCTGGTAATGACGCATCCTTAATCTTTTACAATAAAGAACTCAAAGTATAATCTTTTTAATGCCACAAATTTATTTATTTTTGTAAATGCAGGAGCCGATTTATGCTAACTGACACTTTAAGATTTCATGGTCTGGTCGATCCAATTCCTGAACTTAGCAACCCGTCCGAATACAGTGTATAGTTCTTTCGCTGAGCATTTCGAGGATCCCCAACTGACGTCACCCTGTAGAACCCAATTTCCATTGGCTCCTTGACAAACATAAGGACCACCGCTGTCTCCATGGCAACCACTAAGGATAGTTCCACTTTTGCCTGCGCACAGCATGTGTGGGGTAATTTTAAGAAAGGTTCCAACTACAGAAAAAATAAAAAATAAAAATATAATTATTAAAGCCTAGTAAATTAAACTGACCTTATTCATTTCAGCTTAATTGATTGGATTATAACAACAGGTTAAGAATCACGGAAATAAGCGGATAAAACAGTGCAATCAGGAAACCTGATGTGAAACCAAGAGATAATAAGGGGTACAACTGTTTCTTTTAAGTGATTGAGCAGTAAAGGACAAGTAAATACAGTGGAACCTTATGACGGATCTCTATATAACGAAGTCCTCGGTATAACGAACGATTTTCTTTACCTAGTGATAGTAAATTGTAAGAAAAAGAACCTCGTTAAAGCGAACAAATTTCGCCAGTCCGTTGGCCCCTCTTTATATTAAGGTTCCAATGTAATAGAATTTTGTCACGTGAAACAAATTGACGTTGACCTTTTTCTGAGGGACATCGATTTTCTTTTCTTTTCTTTTTTATTAATCTTTCAATAACTATTTCAGATTGAATAAAGTTTGTCAGACCTTATTAATGAATGACTTGATTTTCAACCAACACTCAGGGAATTATTAAGCTTTTTTCCTTTGAAAGGGGGTTTTCTAGTAAGATGACTGGGGCGTATATGATTACGGCAAGGGTGATATAAGATAGAAAATTTACGATGCATTATTAACAACCACTCAATACGGAATTCGAATAGCGCGGTGACTGGTAATTACGAGAAAAAAAGAACGAAACAGCCAATAGCTATTCCCCACCAAGAAGGCGGAAAATTGTCCACAACCATTTTGTCCTCACAGCTCACACTGAGCACATATAATCATAGTTCGCTTGATTGCTATATGATTATTTTTTTGAAAAAATTCAAAACTACAAGTATTTGGTGTAGTATACCTGATGATGTGGACAATTTTGCTTGACATACGCTATTTGTCAACGGTGGTATCTCAGCTTGTTGAAGAATGTGATGGGAAGATCCAGGATGTTTTATCTTACCCCATCCTATTAGAAAGAATGAATTCAATGTAAGTTTACACGCATTATTTAAGTCTTAATCCTAACTATAGCAAATCTGATTGGCTATCAACTATCCTGATTTAAGCACTAACAGGACAGTGTTATAAGACAGTACGCGTCATGCCTACTTAAGGACTTTAAGATCCAACGACGCGGACGGTAACGAGAACGTCAAAAAAAAACAATCGGTTTTATAAGCAAAACAACAACTTCGCACTTGCATCACACTTTTTGTACATATCTTTGCCCGTTTGCCGACGTGAAAATGCCTAATTTCGCATTTTATTCAGGACATAAACAAACAAAACGACGAAATTTTATTTCTCTTTTTGAAATTGAATATGGTCCCTCGGAATTTAATTCCAGGAAGGTTCGCCTACGTTTCTCAAAGTAAGTGGGTAGGAATAATTGCGATAAAGACTGAAAGAGCTCAAATTCTCTTTTTAAGCAACGTCCTCGTTGCCGTCTTGTTGTTGGATCTTAAAGTCCATAATAATTGGACAGTGCGCGCCATCGCAAGCGCGCACTTTTTCTTCACGTCTAATGAAAAAACCCTCGGAATTTCTTGTGTGCCTAAAATATCACAAATTTTGTTATAGTTATGATTTAAATTAGTGAGAAATTCGTGTCGTCCAATTCGGGTTGTAATTATACACTGAAATCGGACAGACCGAATTGGACTCCACTCAGTCCTATTAGAATTATTTAACAGCAGACATAACCATTATAACTCTTGTGACTTCTTTGATTACAACCAACGAAGACTCATACCGCCTTTTACTTTTAAAATCTAGAGAAAATTTGCATTATTATTTGTGCTTTCATGATTACAATTGCAAAAGTGATTAGACATGCGTTTTTACAAAAGTTTGTTATGAAATCTTTTGTTCTTTCTGTTACCTTGAGAGAAAAGTGAAACGGATGGGGATGTTTCTGCTTTACGTGTTTACTTGTTTGTTTTGGTTCGCTGTGTGAATGGTTGTTTGTCTGTTTGTTTTTTTTTCTTAGCTTGTGTGCTTTTTCTGCACGATCCAGCTGTATGCATAATGTTTTCTCGTGAATTTTTAAAGTATTGTTTTTTTCCTACCCTTTCCCCTTCACTTCGAATTCACCTTTCTAATGGCCCATCCTTAAGTGGCATGTGGTCGGGGAGTTTAAAAACAATATGCGTCGGGAACGGGGAAAATTCAAATACACACTGATCTTAGAAGCCAGGCAGGTGTGCCTTAACTTGATCGTTTTGTTAGTAAAATCCCATGTCAACAGGAGATGACGTCATACCTGTTTCATGCAATAATAAAGTTTACATTTTCTTTTAGAAAGCATCAAAGTCTATTTATTTATAATATGAACTTAGACGTTTCAAGTGAAAATATAATTGTGTCGCCCCATATAAGGGAATCTAAGACAGTCTTGGATTCTGGATTCCAAGCAGTGAATTCCAGATTCCAGATGCTGGATTCCACTCTGTCAGTGGAACTTCGATTCCGGATTCCAATCGTTAGCTGGATTCTGGATTCCAAAGCTCGGGATTACGGATTCCAAAAGCAAAGGTTTCCCGTATTCCAGGATCCAGATTCCCTTATATGGGGCGAACTGTGTCGCATAGTGGTTGTGAGCACCTTTACTCTTTCCCGAATGTCTGAGGTTAAAAAAATTCATAGTTTGTCTTTCAACTCACCAGAAATAAAGCATCTAGAGGATGCGGGAACCATTTCGTCCTGAACAGGAAGGCAAACCGTTCCAACTCGACTGTTTAAGGTTGCCGGCTTAGAAAGCTGGATCAAAGCGATGTCTTTGTCGAGCTTACTTGAAGAATATCCAGGATGAACTATAACACGTTTAGCTTTTATATCTTGTTCACTTCCTTCGGAAACACGACGGTTGTATTCTCCCAAACGAACGGTATAGTAACTAGCTGGCCTGTTATCATAAAAAGACAGAGATCTCCGTAAAACTGGTTTAAGTAGTCAATCAACTTAACCTACATAAATGACGTCATTTCGCCTAACCGGGGATTTATTCCACTGCAAGTAGCAAACCGGCCTCAGTATTTTCCAAAAGTAATTTATTAGCCTTTTTTCGCTCTTTTGCTTTTTTCAAAGCCAAAACTTTATAATGATGCGCTTATTTTAAAGGAAGAGGACAGTTTAACTAAGTAGCCAGTACGTAGTTAGAATTTCACGTTTAATTTAACTTAAAATTTAAATTTAAGTCATGGATCTCCTAGTTATATTAAAACCCCACGTTTTATAAAACCGACCTCGTCTTAATATAACTCTAATGTCACTTTGTAACCTCTTCAACACTATCCACCTTTAGTAACTAATTTGAAATGACAGATTTTCAAAGCCTTTTAGAGGTGGTATTAATTAATGGCGTTTCACTGAACTTACTGTCCCCGTGAAATACAATGCGCTGCTGTAACAACCCAGTCAGGAGCGATCAGTGATCCACCACAGCTGAACGACTTCGAACTTCCTCTGAGGAGAGCGATCTATGCAACAATATAAAAAGCATATAAACCAAAAACTATTTTAAAAATTAATGAGAAATTGAAATCATGTAGGGTTGGCATTTATATTCTACTAAAAAATGAACGCAGATAAGAAATAATCGAAAGTGAAATATCAAGCAAGAAAAGGGGAGAGTGTTTATCCAGCTAATACTCAAGTATATCGGAAAAAAGAGGAAGGCAGCCCAAACTTGTTTACTTTAAACTCGAGGTGCTATATCAGATGCACATGCAAGCCTTTTGCCTTTTTTGTAGCTTCAGTGACACTTTGTAAAACTCATCTACTTAAAGAAGTACGTACAGCGAAGCCTCAATAAAACGAAGAGCCAAGGGACTGGCAAAACCTTGTTTGCTATAACGAAGTTTCGTTGTATCGAGGTTCTTTTTCATGTATGTTACTATATATCACTGGGGTAAAGAAAATCGTTCGTTATACCTAGGACTTCGTGATATAGTGGTTCATTATATCGAGGTTTCATTGTATTTTACTTGTGGCAAATACGTATTTCCATGGTTTTCTGTTCGTGAAATTTTACATGTACAAAGAATTATGTGACCGGGGTAATCCTTTCGTTATTACAGCATTTACCTGCCAGGGCCAATTTCCTGGTTTCGCGTCAACTCCACCAATAACTCTTGTTACAGGGGATCTGCCACATGACGCAGATGGAGCCGGTGTAGCTGGACCTGTTTAAATTATTTTAATATCAAAACCAACTTTACGTTGCTTCCTTACGCAAGTAAACTATGTTATTGTACAGCTATTTTAGGGCGCGCACCCCTCCAAGAAAAGAAGAGTCAAGATTTGTATAGTCAGTTTCTTTTAGCGGATTTTTTAGGGGGGTATAAATCGTGACGTTAAAGGATTTCAGTTTGTTACTCAATCAGGCATAGGCAAAGAACTGTAAGATGAAAAAAAATCGGAAGAAGGTTAGTGAGTCTGAGTTCCACTCTGTCTCTGTCTCTGTCTCTGTCTGTAGGTGATCAAATGCACTTGTTCTAGCTGATAACAAAACTGAATAAAATTGATATTAGACTACAGTAGTGAACAGTCGTATTGCCAGGTAATAAACTTACCAGGAGGACACATGTTGCAGGACTTTGGGCATTTTTTGAGAGCCCATACTTTGTGATCGTTGCAGTAATTTCCACAGGTGGCAATAGATAGACAAAAAATTGACAGCGTACTGTCGGATTGTTCGCACACATGAAACGTTTAAGCGATCGAAAATGCATTCCACAAGGGGCCCAGTGTGGGACAACTAATCTTGAACATGATGCTATATTTAGCTCTTTCCTATTCATTGACTATGATACAGCTGCATACAGCTCATTGGAGAAATTTTTTCTTTTTAAAGGGTAACAATATACGCCACAAGATCAGTAGGGTAGTCTGTAACATCATCTAGATCTGAGAATCTAAATAAACCCCTGATACGCGCGTACGTTGTGAATCAATAACTACCCATGATGCTCTTGGGTATTGTCACTTTTCGGCAGTGACACCTTTCTGGAATGACTTGAATTAACAACTTTATAAAATGCACACGAGCCTGCTCAGTAACTTGAGATACCGACAACCGTCTGTAAGGGTACTAGGCAAAAATCGTTAGCGCTGGCAAATGAGGGACTTGTGTCCGTCTTAATTAGAGTTAAGAAAACTGAAAACGGCAGGAATAAAGAAGAAATAAAGAAAGTTGGCTGTATTTCCACTAAGAATTCAGCTATCAGTATGAAACATACCAGGAGGACACATGTTGCAGGACTTAGGACAGTTTTTCTTCGCCCATACTTGGTTCTTGCTACAGAATTGTCCACACGTGGCAATAGATGGGCAAATGTCTGCATATTTCGGATTATCCACACACCCTGAAAATAAATAATTTAGAATTCAGATCATTTTACTCCATGAATGTTTCATAGTCGATCAAAGGCTAAACTTGATTCTCCAACGTCAATTTTACCACCACCAAGCGCTGGTCATTCTTTAATTTTTGTTTTATAATGTTCGGCTTGCATAATCATGACGTTATTGATTTTATGGATTGATTGGTTAGTAAACTGATTATTATTTATCCAGGTCAAAATCCCTGTTCAGTAAAAAAAATTGAAAGATAGATGGCTATCATAAAGCCTGGAAGTTCCGAGCTGGAAACTTTCCACCACGGTAGTCACGCTCAACAACCATCAGACCATACCAGTACTGACAGCAGTGCAGCATACTACACCCGAGACTGCAACGGCCAGTCTCCCGTGAAACATGAGAACTCTGGGTTCATGTAATACAGTGATAGTCACCAAGGCAAAGTGAGCAATCCCAGCAAACAGAAGCAGCCCGGCTAATGAAATCATCCCCAATTATTTGCAAAGACAAATTTGTCAAATTCGTTTATCAGCATAACGTTAGGTACAAGCCTGGTCTTGGGGGTAGCAGCCCGGTTAAAGAAACCAAGCCCAATTAACCACTATTTTCAAAGACAGATTTCTCTTTTTAATTAGCATAATGTTTAGGTACAAACCTGGTCCTGGGGAGGGTGGGGGTGGAGTGCTTGGGGGTGGTGGTGTCGGTGGTACTAGCCCTCCTCCGCAGCTTCCTCGCTTCACGGAAACGTCATCAATTGCAATATCTGATCGCCAGGACGTTCCTTTGATTCCCTCAAAAGTTAGCTAAATCCAACACAAATCAGCAAAACAAAAAAGTGACAAAGAAAGTAGAATTTGAAATGGACTGGAATCTCTCTTAAGCGAGACAACGAAAATTAGATCGGCGCGAATTTAAATTAACATTTTATTAAAACATTCATCGCAGATCTTCACACTCTTTTAAAAGCTTCCGGTCCAAAATCACACCGTGTTTAAGACGCTCACTAGCAAAACTTAAAACATTGTAAACCGAACCCTGTTCAAAGACACATAACAATTTAAGCTACATAAGGGAGTGAGCCCCAACCCCTGGCCCAGGTTAACAGAAGACGAGTCGTACTGGCATTACTTGTTTCATTTATTGCAGGTACTGTTACTTATGCTGATCAGTGACAGTTCGTTCAACAGTTATAAGTTAACAGAAATGCACTCACTTTGTTGGAGCTTACGGTTACTTCAGCTTTATGCCAGGCATTCCCTTTGTTACCAGTCTTGGTAAAAACGTTACTGCTTCCATCGAAAACATTCAGCGTGCCCTAAGGACTAGGTTTGTATACTATTATCTTTTGCTCTGTTCGTCGAGGGGGCCCTTGTCACTCATTTTCGAATCGCAACAGTGCACTATGTCGCCCTCTTCTCCAAAGCTTCATCTACATCCTGGGACGAGTCCAACGAAAAAATAACAATAAAATTATGAATGATGCATAGAGAACACGACGATTTGGTTAACCATCTACTGACATACCAATCTTCAAATATTTTTCTAAATTCTATGGCTTCGTACACAGTTTTTTAAAGTTTATAAGCATGAAGGTGGCGCTGGGAAGGCATGAAACAGTGGTCAAATATGTATGGTATTGCATGTGCGAAAGGTGCGTCAAAGAAAGTCTTGCAGAATGATATCAAATTATATGGCTGAAGCCTGTGACCAAACGTAACTAAAGATAGTTAAGTATCAAGAAAGTCCAATTTTGTAAATTTCTTCATTTACACAGGTACGGTCATCTATTTTTAAAGTTCCTCTGTTCCACTTTCAAAGTTAAGATAGGAGAGTTAAAATTTTATCTAATGGCACAAAATTGTTTGCAAATTTATTTCAAGCAACACATGATTTATCTTCATTGGTAATTTGAACGGTACAGAAAACGAGCGCTTTTATAAAAAAATTAGGAGATGAGCTGAGGTTTACTGCTTCAAGTTGGTAAAGTTACCTTTCCCGCCATGCCCTGAAGTGGGACCGGTTCCGCTAGAAGGCGTGGCGCCACTTCTGATCCTCCAATCAAACTTATCAGCGGCAGACTGTGACATACCAGGACACAATCCACTGTCAAAAGAGCATCCTGCAAAAACCAATCAAAGTTTGCTGATGAGAGACAAAGGCGAAGCGGTGTAACTCATGGTGTATTCTAAAAGTGCTGTTTCTGCGAATAAATCAAAATCTGAAAAACTAGAAGGCATCAAATTAGCAGATCAGTAAGTGATGTAAGATTTTAAACTGAACTGCCTACCTACCCCTCCCCTGACCAAACGTTAACAATGATTTTTCCCATAAGGGAAAGTATTTGTTAGGAATATGGCAGATGGGAAGTTTCCCGGAATTTCCTACTGATCTTAAGACTTACAGCCTATTTTTAATATGTTTAGCCAGCGAATACAGCCTTGCTATTTCTTCTCGCTCATCGCTTGCTGCAAGGGAGTAAGAAAAGACGGCTGACTTAATTCTCAGGTTGTAAGATGTTAGATTTGTCCCTTTGCACCGACGATTTGCATTGCTTGTGGATGACCTCTTCAAAGTCTTGTTGCCACTTAACTTTGTTAAGATGCTACATTAATAAGCTTCTTACACATACATACCTGACTGCGGTGGCGGAGGTGTGGGTGGTGAAGGGGTCGATGGAGGGGTAATGCCGGTTTTGCTTAGTACCCACGATCTCACGTATCCAACCCTTGCGTAGACACCAAATTTGTTGGGAGCGGCACATCCGTATCCCCAACTAGTCACTCCTTCCAGGTGCCATTTGCCGTTGAACTCGCAGACCAGGGGTCCACCACTGTCACCCTGGCACGAATCAACTCCTCCCTTGTCCAGACCTGCGCATATCATAGAGTCGCCAATTTTACCTGGATAGGCTCTCAAGCATCGCTTTTTAGAAACCAATGGAACTGAAGCTTCCTGGAGCACTTTAGGTTGGCTGCCACCCGATGTTAAAGTTCCCCATCCGGTTATCCAGCATTTCTTGTTAAGATTGTCGATTGGAAGAGGGTTGTTTGGATTTGAAAGGCAAACGAGTCCAACTCCTTTCCCAAGAACAGCAGGTTTGGCAAGCTTGAGCAGCGCTATATCGTGAGCGTATCGCAAAGGCTTATGGTATTTTTCATGCGAAATAATTTGAGCGACGTTGATGGTCTGCTCAGTTCCGACGGTGTCACTAGTTCTGAAGTGAGCTCCCATTCTGAAAAAGAAAAAGAAAACCTTAGACGATTCAACCTATTCAGCAGATGTCGACCACAGCTTAAATAAAGCCTTTTTTCATATTTTTTTCCTTAAGAAGTTGCTGTTTTTTATATAGTTTAGGGCTGTTAAAATCATATTGTAATTGTTGCAGTAGTCTGAGAAAAAGCCAACCTTTCGCGACGCCACCGTTGACGTCTGAGAAACAGAGGCAGAAATTCCATACTGATGACGTTTCATTACCTAGATCTGGATAGTGCTTCTGATTAGCTGAAGGAAATTTCCCACGCGGCTCGACCAATCAGAATCACTACCCAGACCTGGCTAGTGACAGGTCTGCTCTCGTTTCTCATTTCGCGGGGAAACAACCCGTGGCGTCTCGAAATACCAGCTGTTTTCTCAGGCTATGAAATGCTGCGGTTTGAGAACATTTACTTATTATTTAGACCTTGAAAGCTTATTAACATAACGACTTCGCAATACTGGCAGATCATTCGATTCGCAAAAAGATTCAATTGAGTAAAGAAAGATTACTAACTTCACTTTTACTCTAGATGGTGATGATCCACTGACGCAGTGAGCAGCAGTTACAACCCACAAAGGATGAATCAGTGATCCTCCACAGAACTGCCTTCCAGAGGTGGTTATCAACATTGCTTGCCATGGCCAGCTGTTCTCAGCTGCAGGCTTGCCACCCACGATACGAGTGAGAGGAGGCTTCGATCCACACGAACCTTTTGGCAATGAAAATTAATGTAAATAGACTTAGCCAGTGCTAAAATCGAAGCTCCAGTTTATTCATTTCAAAAGGCTTTACTTCAAAGAATGGACATTAAACCCATGCAAAGGAATCCACAAATCTACACTTGACCTTAGGGGAGAACCATATGACTGAAAAACATAAACTTGAGCTTGCGATTAATTAAAAGAAAAGCTTATAACTGGTCCAAAACTTGACCTCGATGGATGTCTATCATCTAGTTAAACACAAGTAACAGGCTCCCACAATAGCTGGAAAGTTTGATATTTCTCATTGGTTTTCATGTGGTTCGGACGTAAGGTCACGTGATTTCTAAAATTTCTCGGATGGACAGATTACGAAATGTCTTAGGTAAGGGGGCTACTAAGGCTCCGATCGGGGGCGATTTACTCGCGCGTGGAGCTCCGCTCTGAATGCTAATTCTCTGTTCTTGCCATTGAACTACTAACGTTGGTTTGATGGTTGTTGTTGATTTTGTAATTTATAAACGTCAACAATAATAAAACGTTGAGTCTACGAAAACAAACTTCATTTGCTTAAACTCTTGGACTAAATTTCCACTTAATAACCGTTAACCGTCAAAGCTACCACCCCATTGAGACCCTCATATCAGCAACAGCAGTGCAGCATGTTTCACAGGAGACTAACGACAAACATGAGAGCTCTAGGCTCATCTGATAGCGTGATCAAAGTTACCCAAGCAAAGCAAGCAAGCCCAGCAAACAGAAGCAGCCCGGTTAAAGAAAACATCCTCAATTATCCACTATTTTCAAAGACAGATTTTTCTTTTTATTAGCATAACGTTTAGGTACAAACCTGGTCCTGGGGAGGGTGGAGGTGGAGTGCTTGGGGGTGGTGGTGTCGGTGGTAATGGCCCTCCTCCACAGCTTCCGGGTTTTACGGAAACATCGTCAATTGCAATATCTGATCGCCAGGACGTTCCTTTGATTCCCTCAAAAGTTAGCTAAATCCAACACAAATCAACAAAACAAATTAAAAGATTTAAATTGACATAGAAAGTAGAATTTGATGTGACCTAAATTCTTTCTTAAGCAAGACAAAGAAAATTAGATTTGTGCGAAATAAATTTAAAATTTAATGATTAAAATGCTCATCGCAGATCTTCACACTCTTTTAAAGGATTCCGGGGCCGAATCACACCTTGTTCAAGACGTTAAGTATCGAAACTTAAGGCTTTGCAAACCAAATAAGAGAAAGAGCCCCACCCCTGGCTCAAAGTTAACAGGTAATAAGTAAGTACTGATCAGAGTGAAATTCGGGCGCACCAGTCACAGTTAAGTTCGTTCAACCGTCAAGACAAAAATGCACTCACTTTTTTCGAGTTGACAGTTACTTCAGCTTTATGCCAGGCATTCCCTTTGTTACCAGTCTTGGTAAAAATGTTGGTGCTTCCATCGAAAACATTCAGCGTACCCATTCCTGATCCAAACATATGATAATAGAAAACGAGACAAGCAGCTCCCCCGGGAACAGTGAGTAAAAGCTTAGCGTTGTCACGTGATACAGCGGGAGAAGAGGTTTCGAAGTAGATGTAGGACCCTGCAATTCCTGATCCAAACATATGATAATAGAAAACGAGACAAGCAGCTCCCCCGGGAACAGTGAGTAAAAGCTTAGCGTTGTCACGTGATACAGCGGGAGAAGAGGTTTCGAAGTAGATGTAGGACCCTGCAGTACAACGAAAAAATAACAATAAAATTATGAATGATGCATAGAGAACACGACGATTTGGTTAACCATCTACAGACATACAAATCTTCAAATATTCATCTTTATTCTATGGCTCCGAACACCGCTTTTTTAAAGTTGAAAAGCATGAAAAGGATAGAACTGAAAAGGCGTGAAAACAGTGGTCAAATATGTATGGGATTGCGTGCACGAAAGGTGCGTCAAAGAAAGTCTTGCAGAATAATATCAAGAGAAAGTCCACTCTTGTAAAATTAGTTATCTATTTACACAGCTCCTCCGTCCTTAATAAAGTTTCTCCGTTCTCCTTTCTCTGTTCTTTGTACAAATAAATACAAATCGACCATGGTAAAGTAAAGATAGGAGAGTTCAAATTTTACAAAATTTTCCGCACATTTATTTCGAGCAAAGCATAATCATAGTAATTTAAATCATAGAGAAAACGAGCGCTACTGTAGAAAATCAGAAGACGCGCTGAGATGTAACTTCAAGTTGGTTAACTTACCTTTCCCGCCATTCCCAGAAGAGGGACCGGTTCCACTAGAAGGCGTGGTGCCACTTCTGAGCCTCCAGTCAAACTTATCAGCGGTAGACTGAGACATACCGGGACACAATCCACTGTCAAAAGAGCATCCTGCAAAAACCAACCAAAGAATGCTGATGAGTGAAAAAAAAAGCGAAGCGGCGGAACTCAGGGTATAATCTGTTTCTGCGACTGAAGCAAAATCTGAGAACTGAAACTATGAAATTTAGATGCTTTGTTTAAAGTGAAAATGTAAGGTCTGTTACGTGAAGTATACAATAATTGGCGTTGATAGTAACGCAAGTAGGTTTTTGTTCATTTCAACTTTTTTGCCAGAACAAATAATAAATATAAAGAGGCGGCCCTAGAAATGAAGCGGGCGTGGACATTTTTCATTTTATTTGGCCTTAACTATTCAGGAGTACAACATTGCGATCGACGAAGAAGAACGGATCCTTCGAATTTTTTCCCTTTGTTGAAGAATTTGAGGTATTCCTAAAACTGTCATTTTCAAGATTTTGCGCTCCTCGGCGACTTCACAGCTGGTTTTCCAGCGGGCGGGAAGTTGGTTACTACAATCCAAAATTGCACCATTTGTGCTTTATGGTTAATCTAATTAAATTGCACTAATACTGTGTGTTTAGACATATGTTAGCAAATGTTAAAAGAAAACAATTGCAGAATAGAATTTTCAATACCATAAATTAATTGTTACACTAATCTTACCTTGAGGAGGAAGTGGACCTCCAGTCGTCGGTGGTGGGGTTGGTGGGGATGGAGTTGCTGAAATGTACATAAATTACAGACGTGTTCATGGTGAGAGTTGTTATTATTAATAAGTAGTGCTTGTGCTTTGCTTTTGTTTTCCTAAGCCGCGTCCACTTCACTCTTACCTACAGAATTGAAGTGGTCGCCTAATAAAACAGAGTAGACTGGTTTGACTATAAAAAGAGGAGACTCTTCAGTTAGTGCTAGAAGTTATTTGCAGTCCCCCTCAAAATTGAAAAATGCAATCTTACCAGGCCCTGTGGAGCATTTATACATCCGCCTCATTTGTTCGGCATCAATTGGGCTGATTCCTTTACGATTTCCGATAGAAACCTAAAGAAAAAAGGATCGGTGATATTCTCAACGGCGTCAAAGATCGTGGAATTTTGCCTCGGATAATAATTAGCCCTTCCTTTAGAATTGCCGATAATAGAAATTAGAAAGGGATCCAAGGAAAACGACTGACAATCTAGCCGATTCTTAGCCCCGGGGAGTAATATAAAAATATGATCAGAAAGCCTCGGACTCATGTTAGAATTTCTATATATCGAACGTGGGCTATCTAACTATGAAGGATTACTCTGAAACCAATTCATCGTTACTTTGTTTCTCCACAAAACTGATGGTAAGAAGTTATTTTGCCCCTTAACCCTGTAAACTGTGCTTTGTTCTCAAACTCAGTAAAAGATTACATTGGGCAGCCAGGCAAACTTGGTGTCTTTGAAATATTTCGACGACAGAGTAATTTTTTCTTACCCTTGAATGCCAGAGGTATTCTCTTTCATCACCGGTGAGAAGCAAAAAGGGCGAACGAAAAAAAAAAGAAAAAAAAAAAGAAAGAAAAGGGCGAACGAAGTATAAAAACTGAATCCTGGATATCTAAACTAAACTGAGGACTTCAATTAAACCAAGTGAAATAGTTTTAAAAATTTTCCTTTTATTTCAATAAACTTACCCCAGCTTTCTTTGTCACTATGGTGGGCTTGCCATTCTTAGAAAAGTATTTCTCTCCATAATGCATCACGGATGCATAATCGTAAGGTGTTCCCAAAGAGTTGATTACATTGGAACCCAGTTTCCTAAAATTGCTTTTTGCAGCTGTCGTGAAAAATACATAAGACATATTTTTAAGAAAAGTACTTCGTTATCAGACTGTAAATGGATGACAGAGCTTTCTGGTTTCTGTGCTTTTCAGTGTTTACACTCTAGGTGTTTACGATGCCATATAGAAAAAATGTAAAGACAAAATTTCTTCGCTAAATAATGTTTATCCATCGTCATTATCATTATTAATATCATTATCATTATCATTATCATTACAGCAGTAGTAAGTAGTAGTAGTAGTGGTAGTGGTATAGTGGTAGTGGTAGTGGTAGTGGTAGTGCTAGTGCTAGTGCTAGTGCTAGTGGTAGAGGTAGTGGTAGTGGTAGTGGTAGTGGTAGTGGTAGTGGTAGTGGTAGTGGTAGTGGTAGTGGAAGTGGTAGTGGTAGTGGTAGTGGTAGTGGTAGTGGTAGTGGTAGTGGTAGTGGTAGTGGTAGTGGTAGTGGTAGTGGTAGTGGTAGTGGTAGTAGTAGTAGTAGTAGTAGTAGTAGTAGTAGTAGTAGTAGTAATTTACTCACATTCTATGATATTTTCATATTTGATAGTGACATAGCTATCCCTGTCCGGTCTGGACTGCTCGTGAAACATTCCCAACGCATGCCCTGCGAAAAAAAAATAATCACTTACTTAGCTTCTTTGATATATGTACTCGACTCGCTACAGGAATCATTAATAACGCATTTGAAACTGGACATGCTACAGGGTACATTAACTCCCGTTGGAGGGGGGGGGGGCACTTTAGGGACGTTTAAGTAAAGACCTCCAAACTCATTTAAGTGGCATAATGCATTTGAAACTGCACAGGATTCATTAACTCCCTCGAGGGGGGGGGGGATTAATTGGTCGAGGGACATAAAGGCCCCCCTGTTTAATTAATGCAAACATTACTTATTTTACCTGTTTAAGACAAGAGACAACCTAGTCCAAATTATGCACTGAGGGATACGTACCAACTCAGCGGTATGGCTAGTACCTTACGCATGCGCACAACCATAAGACAAGAGACCTTAGTTCATAATTATGCATCAGTCAACTCCAGCTGCGCCCATGCCTCATGGCCTAACCTCCGGGCATTAGCATTTAATGTTTTGGCTTTGAATGACAAATTCCCGGGCTCTGAGACACATAAGCTGCCAAATGACCCGAGGTGGGAACAAAGAAGAGGGCAAATACCCCTCCCTAAATCATCACTTCAGCAGTTTTCATTGACCGCACAGTCGAGGAATGCCACTTTAAGCAATTTAAGGTCAATGTTTCATTTCAGTGAAACTTCTGCCTTTGTCATAGTGCTATTATAGCTAAGACACTACGCCGTGACGACACCATTCATGAGTCCTATTTTGTAATTGTTTTTATAGTTGTAAATACAGAAGTTTGAGGTAAAACAAATTGACATAAAAATTAAAAGTGTCTTGTAAAGCTAGTCTGTTTTGAATAGTTTAATAATTTAATAATATGAAAAGAAGTTCTTCAAATAAATAGATTGATCATACATGATCATAGAAGTACTAGAATCATTACTACTAAATTTTGTTCAAATCCCAGATCCACAAAGATTTGATGAAATAAAAAAATACGTCAATTCACATCTAATCTCACCAATCTCGTGAGCAACTATCCCTCTATTCCAGCAACCACTGGCAAGCGATAATTGTTGTTTTCGTCCAGTTCTTCCAACGTAAGACCAGCAGCTGAAATACAGAAAGATATTTTACAAATATATTTTAAAACTTTTTAATTGTTTGTGTTTTATGCCTCATATTCTGAACACTAGTTACAACCTGATGTTCTTCTTTTCCATACATGTGACTGATGCATACATAGGGGTCATAGGGAACTTTCATATCAAGATTAAGGCAAATTTTACCTCGTAACCAAGTTTCCCTTTTCTTGTAGTGTACTGTTCAGTATATCAGCACAAAATATTTAGTATAGTTCAGGTTAAGTTTAACCTAAATAATTATTTTGGACAATTTTATCACCCAATTTCCTTGTTGTGTCAACCCTAGCGGTCTAACCACTCACCTCACCACTAAGCCGTCTCTTAAATCTCTCTATTAATAACACTTACCCCGAGCCCTTAAAAAAGGACACATAGGCTGCTTCATTGGTTCTCTTTTTAAACTTAATACAAGTCTGCTGGGTCCACTCCGCCATGCCTGCATTAATGGCTGCCATCGCCCGACTTGATGATGCTAAATGTACAAAAATTTACAAGAATTAAACTACTAGAATTTAACTGAGCTGTAAAGAAAAAGACCTAAATGGCTTGTTTTTTCTCAGCTGTGGACCACGGTATATAGTTCACGTGTTATTCTATAATGTACACCGTAATTTTTAGGAAGTTATTATAACTCCAAAAACGGAGTAAACATTTTAGGTACAGGATAACCCCCTTTTTCGGATTAATTTAACTCCTAATTTAACTCCGAATTTGGGGCCAATTTTTACTCCTGAAAAAGAGTTATTTTTACTCCCAGTCTGGCATTAAAGTAACTCCGAAATGGGGTTACTTTTACTCCTTACATAGGTTGTTTTTACTCTTTTTGGAGTTAATTTAAATCTGAAAGTGGAGTAAAAATTTTAGGTACAGGATAACTCCTGTTTTGGGGTTATTTTAACTCCTCAATATCTGGGGTCACTTTTACTCCTGAAAAAGAGTTCTTTAAAATCCTCTTTGGAGTTAAAATAACTCCTCAAAAAATAAATCCACTGTAAGAAGTTAAATTAGCCCCACTAGAGGAGTTATTGTAACTCCTTGAAAATTACTGTGCACGACACGATAGTGAAGAACTCAGAGCTTCATGACAAATTGCGTTGTTCCTAAAGCATCATTTGTTTAGTTACAAATGACAGAGATAACCTTTGAAAAGATCGACTGCAGTCTGCTTCAATTTCCTTGGTTTTTTTTCATTTGTGCATATCTTCTTCAGCATTTACTCTGTCAGTTAATTAGTTAATCGTTCACATTATAATGGTTGCGTTCGATGTCAGGAGAACGCATCCTTAACTTTAAATCCGCCAGAAGCCTGGGCAAGAACATTCTGCAGAAAGAAACTCGAATTTTTTTGGTTTGGCTCAAGTACCGGAAATGGAAATACGTCATAGACCTTAGACTTCTCGTTTCCAGAGCCCTTCGTTTTCTTTGATTTACCATATCACGAGCGATTCAGTGAAAACACATGTTACCAAATGCTACGGGGGATATTGAGAACGCTTAATTGCAAGACACTAGAAATCATTAGTAATCGGCGGGCAATTCATCATTGCGGATTCACTTTGAACAACTGCACATTTAAAACACTTGGAAATGTCACTATCGTTCTTAAATGCAAAAAGATGCCCACCAGCTAATACTTACATAGAGAACTTTCGATCTGGTAAACCATAACACCATTTGGCCATCTGTTGTTGGTTATTGATCCTTTAGTCTCGCCCTCTACAACAGCTCTTTGTTCAGAGGTTAAAATCATGTCACCTCCGAAAAACTCTGAATCACAGTCCTTTTTGCGCCCCAGATTCTCTGCAAATAACAAAAGTTAGCAGCAAACGAGTAAGAAGGAGCTTAAGCGCCAGATCAGGACAGCCGGCAACAGCCGATCAAGAACTTATATTTTAAAATGAACTCTTGACCAGTTCTTTCAAACCTCATCGCAATTACACTAAACTTAATACTCATTTTGTCAAATATAGGTGTGTTTTTTATTGATTTTGTTTTTGGTTTTTATTTGTTCATTTTGTTGTTGTTATTGTTTTCCTATAGTTCAATTCTTAGATCCGGACTGCATTTAAGTTCAAGTAGGTTTTAGAAAACAGTAGATATTTTGCGACGTCACCACTAGTTTCCACCCGAAATAACGCGGAATTGCATACCAAAGACGTGACACAACCCAGATCTGGGCAATGCTTTTCCCCCGGGGGAAATTTGCTTCAACCAATCATAGGCATTACCCAGATCTGGGTAGTGCGCTCGCCAGTGGTGGCTTTCTTCACGAAGAAATGTCCCTGTATTCTCAGGCTAGTGGCCATGGGTTTATTTCCTCTGTTACAAAGTCTAATATATCAGGATTTAGCCAGGCTAAAAGCGAAGCTCTCGATAATATTTATCGTTTGCTCAAACAAAATATAAAATCGTGTAATGCTAAGCGGTGAAGGCAACGCCGGAGAACGGTGACAAACAACAATAGGTCTAATTAGCAAAACAGGAACTTTGCACGTGCAGCACACTTTTTTTGTACATTTCTTTGCCTTTGTTTTGCACGACCACAACGTGAAACTTCTAGAAACTTCTTAGCTACACGTTTTATGGAGGAAATGTCGCACGTTTTCTTATTCACTTTTTTTTCACTGCCGCTCATTTTCACCTTGCATTGGGGGCCGCTTGCATTTCTCATTTTGTTACCGCCGCTATAAAATTTTCATGTTGTTCTTTCAACAAAAAAATGTCTCTTTTGTTTGTTATCTCTCGCTACAGATCTCTGTCGCCCTTTTTCTCGTTGAGCTTCGCTGGCCTGCCGCCTATTTTCTACTTTGTTTTCTGGTCAAAACTAACGCAGCGAACCTTCGGTCAGTGTCGATTGACCTAGAAGCAATAGTACCATCCCTCCCATAGCAAGTGCTGCATTGTTGCGCGAACGCGGTCGCTAAGCTTGAATATTCACATCGCGTATTATACCTGGTAGTTTGCGGTCATATCGAAGCGTAAAGGTCAACAGTGGTTGTTGATGAGCGAGCAATTATTGAGCAGTTGCGATGGGTTTTGTGGAGCCAGCGAGCAAGAAGCAGGGCACACGTTACCTGCAGATTAGCCGATGGCAATTTGGAGCGGATTCGTCTATTATTCTCGAATTTATAGCGCTTCGTGTGAAGGCGCGTGGAGATGGTCCGTTTGTTTTGTAGCCAGCCTTTAATTCTTCTTTAGTAGATAGTACCTACAATTGCAAAACTCAACAAAATGCCACTTAAACATTTTGTTATATTTTGACTTTTGGACTATTTTAGTTCATGGGAGTTTCGACGACTCATCGCATTAATTTGTCCATGTGAATATTAATATATTCATTCAGTGACACATACTACGTCTGGGCCGCCTGTGGTTGCATTTGGGTTGCCATACCTGTTGATTGAATTGTTTTACATTGGTATGCCTGTGGTGTGGACAGACGGTCGGGAAGGCGGGCGGGCGGTCGGTGTACGGTCACGTGATTACCAAATTTTCTCGGGTGGATAGTTTACCACATTTTCTTACCCATGGTGCTCCGCTGTGCGCGCTTCGCATAGTGATGAAAAGACACTTGGATGAATTGAAAATCAGCGTCCAGGGCGTTTATATCTGGTGCTAAATGTAGAGGCACCTGTTCCCTGCAGTTGTTGAAAAATGTCGAATACTGTACCGTGTTTTTGTCGTGATTCCGCCAAACACAAATGAGCTTCGGATAGCCCATTAAAGAGTGCAGAGTAGAAAGGGTATAGTAGCAGATAAAGGACAAATAAAATCACAAGTCTAAACCTTGTTTTCTTAAATGGCGAATATTCAAAGTGATTTTAACCACATATCACGAAACGCTATTTCTGATCATCTACAAGGAATTGAATACTAAACGACTTCGAGTTGGACGATTTTGAACAAAGCCTTTTGGGGGAAAATATATTTAGTCCAGCACACTGTAATAGTTGTACAAAAGAGACTTCATTTTTATGGAATATAGGCATGCCACAGGGTATTCTGAAGTACATTGCTCATTACAGCCTCCAAAATAATAGTCAGAGTTCCGGGCGGGAATTAAGACCAGTCTTTAGAAGGAATACAAACAGTGTGAACTTACCTTCGGGGCTTATTGACGAAGAGGACGAAATCACAAACGCAAGAAAACCCAGCGAAATAAGAGTATTCATTTTGCAAGCTTAACTTTGTGAACATTTGCTTTAAGTTCTCTCTTTTATATCTTCTCAAAGTACAGCTGTTCTGAGAGTAAATTATGTTTCACAACGTAATCAAATGGTTTTGGAACGGAGCTTGTTTCTTTTTCTAACCGTTTTGTTAATAGTTAGCCACAATTTACATCACGAATGAAATCATTGTTCAATTTCTCTATCATGTAAACTATATACTCTTTTACTGTTGCATAGCGAACACTAATTAGGGTCCCTCGGGTGTCCGTCGTTTAAAGAATTTTTGTGTGTTTTTTAAGGGAAAAAATAAACATAAAGCAAAGCTAAACCATTAAGTCTACAAGTGTCTACACTGAATTTGATCAAAGCCATCGGTGACAGGATTACGTGTACACCTCAGTGTTTGTATTCAACTGCATTCACAAAGGAAATGTTAACAATAATATTGTAATTTTCACGGCCATGATGTTATACTTTTATGCATAAGAATGTTGTTTTTCCTGCCCAGGCTATTTTTCTGCCGTTTTAGGCTGAAAATATTCTTGTATTTTAATTAAACAAGATAGAACTGATCATGTTAATCTTTTCACTTTCGCTCCTTTCTTTTGGGGTGCATGCGGTACAAATGTATTATATGGACTGTTCATCAAACTGTTGTTGGTTAATCAGTATCCTTTAGTCTCGCCCTCTACAACAGTTCTTTTTTAGGGGTTAAAATCATGTCACCTCCGAAAAACTCTAAATCACAGTCCTTTTTGCGCCCCAGATTCTCTGCAAATAACAAAATTTAACAAACTGCAGATCAGGACAGCCGGCAACAGCCGATCAAGAACTTAAATTTTAAAATGAACTCTTGGCCAGTTCTTTCAAACCTCATCGCAATTACACTAAACTTATAATTAGTACTCACTTTGTCAAATATAGGTGTGTTTTTTATTGGTTTTGTTTTTGGTTTTTATTTGTTCATTTTGTTGTTGTCGTTGTTTTCCTATAGTTCAATTCTTAGATCCGGACTGCATCTAAGTTCAAGTAGGTTTTAGAAAACAGTAGATATTTTGCGACGTCACCACTAGTTTCCACCCGAAATAACGCGGAATTCCATACCAACGACTTGACACAACCCAGATCTGGGCAATGCTTTTCGCCCGGGGGAAATTTGCTTCAACCAATCAAAGGCATTACCCAGATCTGGGTAGTGACAAGTCATCAGTATGGATTTTTTGTGCTCGCCAGTGGTGGCTTCCTTCACGAAGAAATATCCCTGTATTCTCGGGCTAGTGGCCATGGGTTTGTTTCCTCTGTTACAAAGTCTATCAATCTTAACTTCTCATTAGGAAATTTTACGTGCGTCGTGCAAATACGGATAAGTTACCAAAAAGTGTAATTCAAATGGAGCTTCAGTAGTTTTCAGTTTTGCTTAATAGAGCTACAAAACTTTCGTTTTGGGGCTTCCTGTCATCGCGGTTTGATTGCTTAATCAATAAACTCCCAAGTGATTAAAAAGGCCACCTTTATATCGCAAATTATACTGGGCATTTTGTATATGAACGGACGCTGTGAGGATTCCTTACCGCAACAAACCTGCCGTGTTACATTTTTTAGGTCCTCTGACATTAAGTCATTACTTTTGAGCCTTATTAGCAATACAAAACAAAATTAACAGCCACTCGATTTAAAATTTTTTGAGGCTCAGAGGGGAGGGGTGTGTGGCTGATCCGGCTTCATTATAAAGTAATTGCATTTTTCAAATTTGTACACGCATATTCTTCACTAAGTGCATCGGCAAGAACATTATACTGAATTAGTCATTCTTAGTCGATTTTCTTCCTCGATATGTGAGGGGTTTTAGTACTCCAAAATATCCAAGACAATGTTGAAAATCTATTACACAATTAATACTTCTGATCAAAGAGCGCAATGCCGTTTTTTTTTTTTTCTGTTTTGCGATCAGTTTCGTTTCGTTTAGCCAGCCACCATAATCCATGAACTGTCATTTTTCCCTCAGTTATTTTATTGGGAAGCAAACTAAATTTCGTATTTTTCAGACGAGGATATAGTGAAAACAGCGTCCAGGGCGTTTATGTCTGGTGCTAAATGTAGAGGCACCTGTTCTCTGCAGTTGTTGAAAAATGTCGAATACACTGTGTACCGTGTTTTTGTCGTGATTACGCCAAACACAAATGAGCTTCGGATAGCCCATTAAAGAGTGCAGAGTAGAAAGGGCAGTATCAATAAAGGTCAAATAAAATCACAAGTCTAAATCTTGTTTTCTTAAATGGCGAATATTCAAAGTGATTTCAACCACATATCACAAAACGCTATTTCTGATCATCTACTAGGAATTGAATACTAAACGACTTCGAGTTGGACGATTTTGAACAAAGCCTTTTGGGGAAAAATGTATTTAGTCCAGCACATTGTAATAGTTGTACCAAAGAGACTTTTTTTTGCATGCCACAGGGTATTCTGAAGTAAATTGCTCATTACAGCCCCCAGAATAATAGTCAGAGTTCCGTGCGGGAACTAAGACCAGTCTTTAGGAGGAATACATATCCGTCGGCGCAGTGTGAACTTACCTTCG